CAAAAGCATGGTGAGATAATCTCTCATTCCAATTATAAAGGCTATTATCAGAAAGATCAAAGATAAACGCTATGTGGATGTGGAGAAAAGGGAACCCTTGCATAGCACTAGTGTGGTTGTAAATTAGCACAGTCAATATGAAAAACAATACAGGGCTTCCTCATGAAATTAAAAGTAGACTTATCATATGATCCAGCAATCTGACTTCTGAGCGTATATTCAGACAAAGTTCCAATAAGAAAAATATAACCGGGTGTGGTGATGCACACCTTTGATCCCAGCACTTGAGAGGCAGAGGCAGGCAGAACTCTGTGAGATCAAGCCCAGCCTGCTGTCTAGGCCAGTTGGGGCTACAGGGGACCCTGTCTCAATATATATATATATACTCCAACCAATACTACTTAAATTATTCAAAATGATAGAAACGGGAGAACTCCCAAATTCCTTCTATGAAGCCAGAATCACTATAATACCCAAGCCAGGTAAAGACACAACCAAAAAAGAAAATATAGCCATATCCTTAATGAACATCAATGCAAAAATTATCAGTAAAATACTTGCAAAACAAATTCAAGTACCCATCAGAAAGAAGATCATCTACCATGATGAAGTTGGTTTTATTTCAGAGATTCAGGGATCATTCAACATACATAAACAAATAAATATAATCTACCACATAAATAGACTGAAGGACAGAAATCATAAGATCATCTCATTAGATGCAGAAAAGGTCTTTGAACAAAATCTAACATTGCTTCTTGATAAAAGTCAGTGAGAATCTAGGGACAAGGGACATATCTCCACACTATAAATGTAATATACAACATGTCCCACAGTCAACATCATGCTAAATGGGGAAAAACTCAAAGCATTTGCACTAAAACCAGGAACAAGATGAGGATTCCACTCTCGCCATTCTTGTTCAATACAGTTCTTCAAGTCTTAGCTAGAGAAGCCAGAGGAGTGAAGGAGGTAAAGGGGGTACATGCTGGAAGGAAGAAGCCAAAGTGTCCTTATTTGCCGATGATATGGCTCTTATTTCTTGTATGCCTCATTTCTTCCTGAAATACCTATTTTGCTTCAGCCTGAGGCATTTCCTAATATCTTTTATAGGAAAATTTTAGGTTTGATGGTGGCAAATCCTTTTTATTTAATTTGAAAACATTGAACATTTTTATTTACTGTTATCATGTGTGTTTGTATGCATATGTGGGTATATGCCATGGTTTGCATTTGGAGATCAGAGGACAACTCTGCGGAGTTGATTCTCGCTTTTCACCTTTAGTAGGTTCTGGGGATCAAACCTATGTTATCAGGCTTGCATGGCAAGCACCTCTACTTGATGAGCTATCTTGCTGGGCTGAAAACACTCTCATTTGAGTTTTTACCACTCTTCCCTTGGTTTTTAAATGCACATTCTCACTACCTAACCCAGGCTGGCCTTGAATCTGCCATCTTCCTGCATTAGCCTCCCAATTATTGTACTTCTAGGCCTAACTTTAAGATTTTGAAGAATATTTTTGCTGGACATAAAATCTGTATTAATGTTTTTCTCTGCATTTAAAAAAATGTCTAGCCACATCTTTTGGACAGAATGTCAGTAGTTCTTTGAAACATTACTCACATACATGTAGTATATAATTTTGATTTAAAATGTGATTTTCAAAGTGTCTGCAAATCTTTTGATACACCTCAGTTCAAAAGTGGGTGACATTCTGCTGCATTTGGATGTGGTTTGTACTTAGACTCGATGCTCAAAGAATGTGGTTGAAGTGCTCATATAGGGCTTCCAAAGCCAGGTCACAAAATTATGTCTCAGTGTACATAAAAGACCCCCCCCCTCGCTTCCCCTCCTGCTCCCTCTCCTCCACTCTCTTCTTTGAGAGAAGCAGCCCAATCAATACATGGAGAGACACTGAAGCCTCACAGTAAATGCCAGTAAATGCCAGTCCCAAGTAGCCATATGAGTGAGGAGCAGGTCTTTCAGATGCGATGGCATCCCTCTTTACAGGACAGCAGGGCTGGCTGATATTTGGTTACAATGTCATGAAATCCCCAGGCTACCATCCCAACCATTCTCAAATTATTTCCCACAAAAACTGAGGAATTCATCTGTATGTGTGTAGTTGTGTGCACATGTGTATGTGCGCACATGTGTGTGCAGTGTATCTGCACCTGGAAGCCCGAGGTTGATATCAGGAATCTTCCTGGATAATTCTTCTCTCTTATTATATGAAACAGAGACTCTCAATCAAACCTAGATGATACAGCTCATCTGGATAGCCAGCTTGTTTCCGGGAGGGGAGCCCTTGTCTCTACCATCTGAGGCTAGGCTAACAGGTGGGCTGCCATGCCTACCTGGCATTTACGGAAGTTCTGGTGATCCAAACTCTGGTACTCTCACTTGTGTGGCATTTTAACTGCTGAGACATCTCCACAGCCCAGTTATTGCTTTTTTTTTTGGTCTTTTTGAGACAGAGTCTCCCTGTAGCCCCAGCTGACCTGGAACTTGCTGTGTAGACCAGGCTGGCTTTAACTCACAGAGATCTGCCAGCCTCTGCCTCCCAAGTGCTGGGATTAAAGGCATGCACCACCACGCCCAGCTCAGTTATTGTTTTTTTTTAAGGCAACAAATTTGGGATTAATTCATTATGCTGTATCTGATAGCCAATATTTTTCTAACTTCAATGTCTGTGAATGTTATATTCACTATTCACTCCTAACTCTCCAATTTTCAATTAACATTGCCTTTCTAAAAGAAAAAAAAAAGACAGTCATATAATTCAAGGCATACCTCAGCTAAAAAAATATATGGAATCATTAATCTGTGTTAATATCTGTCTATTATAAAACACTGGTATCTCTGGTTTATTATTGTAGTCTGAATACCATGTATAATACCTGACACATAATTAGACATTAAATAAACACTGCTGAATGGATGAATGGGTTTTTTTTCCCTAGGCTCTATGCTTCTGGAGGCAAAAATTTGTGCATTATTCATTCTTTGTATTTCCTTCACATGGTACAGTGTTTAATACTGAATACATAGCATTCACTCTGCTGAATTAGATTGAACCTAACTGAAATTCTTGTTGAAGTAAATGTTCTGGAAATACAAGTTAAAAGTCATGGCAGAAAACTCATTTTAAACATTTATATTGTTCATTGACTAGAGTTGATTTTCAAGCTCCATCAACCTATCATAAAAAACAAAACAAAACAAACAAACAAACAAACAAAACAAAGAACTCTGCTCCATCCTCCCAAAATATGTAACTACCATTTACTGCTGGCAAATGGTAGACTATATGGATGTTTCTCTCTCTCTCTCTCTCTCTCTCTCTCTCTCTCTCTCTCTCTTTCTCTGTGCATGTAGAAGTCAGATGTCTATGCCTGTAATCTTTCTCAGCTATGCTCTATGTTAATTTTTGAGACAGGGTCTCACCCAGAACCTGGAGCTCACTGATTCAGGCACACTGGCTTGCCAGCAAGCCCTAGGGATCCTCCTGTCTCTGCCTGCACAGCGCTGACCTAGGGATCCTCCTGTCTCTGCCTGCACAGCGCTGAGACTATAGGCACCACTGTGTGGTCTTTTTACATGGTGCTGGGATATAAACTCAGGGCCTCAAGCTTTCATGGTAACCACTAACTGAGCCATCTTCCTAGTCTTTGGATTTCTGACATCTTCCAAAGCTTCTACAGACTCTTTACAAAACCGTATGCAATGGCTGTACTTAAGTTGTAACTGTCAGATATTGACTTCAGATAACCTGTATTCTTCATCCAATGAAAACTCAAGCCATTTCAGAAGAACTGAGTTTCATGAGACAGAGTGGAAGGACTTGCTCATGCAATATATAAGTGAATCATTCTCTTCCTCTTTAGAGGGGAGGCAGGTTATACTCAGTGGTTTGGAGCATAAGCCAAGCTTCCTGGGTATAAACCCTAGCAGGTCACTTGGCTTTATGGTGGACTGTTGGAAGGCATCTTGACTTATTGCCTCAGTTTCCTCATTTGGACAATGTCAAAGACTATCAATACCCATTCAATCTGTTGTAGAGATTAAATGGGTCAATCGGTAAAGTGAGCTTGGCATACAGTGAGCAGAATAAAGATGCTCGTCCTGCCTCCAGTGCTTACCATGGACCCTGAACATTTCAGGCATTACACAAAAGAGTGAGAGACTCCAAGGTGGGGTACTGTGTGAATTATCCCTGCCACTGTTTGTTCCCCTTCTTCATGTAATTGCTGTCTGTGACCACAGATGTTTGGACTGTTCCTTCCTGTACAGAAACTCAACTCAAAACGAGGCAGTAGAAAATGGTCTATACAATGCAAGTATTATGGACTCATGGTTCTGGTGGGTTGGGAATTATAAAATTGTACACTTTGGAGTAAAGGAGGTTTGCTTTTTCATTTTAACCTTTCTGTATATGTGGACATGGCAAGACGTCAAGGACGGGAAGGAGCACCGAATTTCAGAATCTAGCGTACGGGCTAGTGGGTTTGTAGAAAGACGCTTCCTCCTAACTTACAAATTGGGCTGAGCTTCTCCCCTTGACTAACCGGAGGAAAGGCTTCTTGTTAGAATTTCTAACACCAACACCTGGCACAGTGCCTGACGATTGTGGAAGGTCAGAAACTATTTTAAAGGTGTACAGTACTAAGAAATCAAGGCAGTTGGGACGGCTTTGTGTCAAAGTATTCTTCCCTTGGTTCCAAACTTTCATCTTTTTCTCGGCTTCCGCTTGCGTGGGTTGGCTGTTCCAGTCTCCACGCCTTCACAAAGCCTGAGCTCTAAGGATCAAGAAAAAACCGACTCAGTTGAAACCTCTACTCACATTGGCCTCCTCCCTTTGTTGCTAAGGAGAAGTAGAGAAGACGAAGGACACCAGCCTAGGGGCAGAGGAGCGCTCTGAGTGGTCAAGCAGGAACAGCGTCCCCAGTTAGGGTCCTGCCTGTTCCGTTAACTGCCCCCGCCCCCGTCTTGACTGGCCTTGAAAAGCTCCTACTCGCAACCACATCGCTGCAGGAGCGCTGCAGAAGGGACCGAGATGGGACTGGGGGACTTCAGCCACGGCAGGCAGCGGATGCCCCGGAGTCTCTATGGAGTCCTGGGCCGAGCTGGGCTCTGGACCCCAGTGCTGCATTCTGTGTACCGCATCCCCTGCAACACCTGGCGCATCCACGTGCAGGCGCAGACCCGGGCTTACAGCCTGGTGCTGGAGCACCTCCGACGGCAGCTCCAGCGCGCCTTACAGCGGGCGGCGGCACGCGGGCGCGCCCGACGCGCGCGGGAGGCTGTGGCGAAGGTGGCCGCGGCGGCGGCCGCGGTCCAGGAGGAGCGGAGCCGTGCGCGCGTGGAGTGCGCCCTGGCCCGGCTGCGCGCGGAGTTGGTGAGCGCAGGCTGCGAGGCGGGTAGTTCAAGCTGCGCGGCGGGTAGTTCAAGCTGCGCGCTTCTTAGTCCTCCGCTCCTAGAGCGTAGTTCATCCGAGGGCTCCGAGAGACCCAAGGGGCTTGCTCCCAGGAAGAGAGATCTCTCTTGGGCTCTAACTTTTTTTCTGGACCAGGTGCTGAGGTCTTCATGGGCCGCAGCGCCAAATGTCAATCCGGAGGGAAGGGGCTCCCTGGGGTTGTTGATCCTGGCCTGTCTACTAGTGACTGGCCTGGGACTTCATTAATCTCTCTCCAATATGTTTCCATGGTTTTCTATCCTATAGAAAGTTTCCTATAGAACACTCCTAGTATGTGCATGTTTAGAGTATGAAAAAGGAATTTCAATGAAATTAACTCCTCTGATGGATGGTGTGATTCTATCAGAAACTCTAAATCATGCAAATTACTTTTTTTCCTCCCCTTGCTAAGAATTCAGAAAACTGGAAATAAGTTTAGGACTGGGCGTTAAACAGGAAGAAGTGTTTGTAGATATCTTAGATGAGTTTTTAATGGGAAAAACCTAAATTAGACAATTTGAAAAGGACAAATTAGAAGCAACTTATTTTAAAATGGTACTGTTGTGTAGTGGAGATGTAACTTGGAAAGTTCTCTTGCAATGAATACTACAACTAACCATGACTTTAGAACGAATTTAAGAAACCTCGGCAGGTTATCTATCTCATTTCTGGGATTAAGAAGGGCGATGTGGCAGTAAATCCACGTTAACAATCTGAATTTGATAAGGAATGCTTTGTGTCTGATCCAGCCATGTGGGCGGAACACCTGATTCTCATCCAGGGTCTAAGCGGTGAGTACAAGGAGCTGGATGGCGGATCCACTTCACTGGACACCCGGAGGTCGGTGCTGTGGGCCAGGACGTCACACTGGAGTGCCTGGCCTGGCTGAGCCTTCTGTGGTGCTGACCTGGGATACGTCACACGCTCATCCCACCCCCCTCTGCTGACTCATGTTGAGATCATCAGGCTGGACTAGCTCTGGAACACCTTTAACCTTAACATTGCAGCAAAGTTGCACCATCAACGGAGGGCTTAGACAAGTAATGTATTAGAGGTGGAGAGACGGAAGGGAATTAGACTTCCAAGGCTGTGAGCATTCAAATGCCCCAGATTTAGCTTTTATAAGATCTGCTAACACTTGATGGCCCTACAGCTTCAAGAATGTTAATTATTAGATTTGAATTTATCTCCACAATAGAGATAATAATCACATGGATTATCATAAGAATTATATGAAATAATATATGACATTTCTAAACGTCAACATATTTGTTGACAGTTACCATTATGCTAGTAATTATTATATATCTCAGAGGCTGATTGTACATAAAAGGACAAACATGAATGTATCAAGAATTGAGAATTGGGTGGACAAGATGGCTCAGTGGGTAGAGGCACTTGTGTGCAGGCCTGACCACCTGAGTTCAATCCCAGGCTCCCACTAGGTGGCAGGAGAGAACAGACTCCCTGACCTCCAACTCAGGCACACTGTGACACTTAGATGCCTGGACACACACACACACACACACACACACACACACACACACCTAAAATAAATAAGTGAATTTTTAAAAGAATTGAGCTTTTCTGGAAAGGAAACAGAGAATTTTATGCATACTCAGTTCTTGGGTTACAGACCTGGGAACCATTTCGATGAACTCTCTAGCCATGTTACTGATCATACAAAAGGAGCAAGAGTGGGTATTTTAGCTTCAGAGTCTCATAACTAGAAGTAGTTTTTGATTATAGCATATTAGCTGATTTCTATGGGAGTTAGTGTTCCCCTGTATGTACAGATATCATGATGTGTCATATATAATGTACAGGTATCCTGTGTATTAGGATGGAATTTTTGTAGTAACAATGGTGAGCCATCAATTGAGTCATGTTGTTGTTTATATTCTCTTCTGTTTGGCTTTGTTTTCCTAGTGGAAGGAATCGCTTTCTAGGTCTTTGAGTGGATTTCTGGAGTTAAACCTAAAGTTTTCTATGTGCATAAAGTCCTTAATTTTCTCAGAGAAGGTTTGGAGCTTTCATCGGACTCTCAAAGGGATCTTAGATGAAAGAAATTTAAAATCCATGAGTGTTTTAATTTCCTAAATAAGTGTAAATTGCATATACTTTACTTAAATGATGAATCATTAGTAATAATTTTATCCCCTGATACTCAGCATGAAAGTAGAAGGTAGATATTCACCAGCTCATTCATCTATCCCTTCAATTCACTCCATATTTTAACAGACACAGAGAACCTACCCTGGATGTATATGTAGAATACTCAGAATTGGGAATGCGATCATTAAGGAGTACTGAGTCCCATCCTTAGCAGCATCAGTCTAGTTTAGTGTGTGGGTTATGGCAGCCATGCATATGGAACACCATGGAAGAACAAGGGGCAGTGATGTCTGCCTGCAGTTACAGGAGGCTTCTCAGAAGAACTGGCATTTATTTACATAGAGCAGAAAGAGAAGTGGCAAAGAACATCTCAAAACAGAGGGGTCAGATGGAGCGGTAGCTCAGCACAGGGTTTCCTCAGGAACTGGCAAGGTGTTACATCACCTGTGATAGGAGCTGACATGGGAAAAAGTGCCAGGAAAGGAAACTGGAAAGTCAGGGCAGGATTCTAGAGCCCCGAGATGAATTAGAGAAAGGAATCTTCTGGTAGTTATGGTGCAGAGGCTTTCCATGGTGATGGTTTTGTGGTTTGTTTGCTGGATATCTAAAACCTTTGTCTTTTCTAATCTTCGCTGTCTGAGAAGTGGTTCCACTTCTCCAGGTGCTGAAGAATGAAAATTAAAAAAAAAAAGACTTAGAGGAAAATGAAAGATAACTTTGCCCAGTAGTTTTGTTTTGGAAATTGAAAGGGAACCACCAATCCAGTATTTGCTGTTTACTAACATAGTGCCCTGGCTTATCCTGGGGTGGCTACTCTTGATGAATTGATGAAGCATTTTACACAGAAAGAATTATTGTTTCTTGAACAGCATTAATCATGACCCCTATTAAAGAAATTTACAAACAGTTGATCTTTAATTTCAGGTTGTAATACAACGATTAGGACTAAGCTTTTTCAGACTACCTCCTAGGTAACCTGTCCTTGGAGTTGTATTTTAAAAAAAAATTTTTATTCTAACACACAAAGGCCTTTATAAACTCCTGGATCAGCCTTGCTATCTAACAGGTTTCATTCTAGAGTGAAAAGTGTTAGATTATATAAGGACACATAACTATACATGTGCCTCTGAGGTGTCATTTTATGTTTTGGCTTGGAAGGGAGGCCATTTAAAATCCTGAAAACTCGAAATGACAGGTAATCAAGTAAATGGGCCCAGATCCTGAGCACTCAGGTAGCCCCAGGCAGTAATCCCGTGGCTGGGAAAGCTCATAAAGATAAATGATTTCATCATGGGTCACATGCCATTGCTTGAAAACAGCCTTCAGTGCATAGGTATTCTTCACATGGACAGCTTTGTGCATCAGCTATTTTTGTTTTCATTTCAAGGCCATTTAAAAAGCTATTTATTTATCTGGATTTTTACCTTGTCATATAGAAAGCCAGTTTTATGGCCAGGCCAAACACTCAGAACCAGAGGATAAGATGGGAAATACATCTTTCTTCGTATCTTATTTCCCTTTGCTATGCACACCTTATTTCTCGTGTGCAGGGAGCAGTTTCATTTGATCTATATCTCAAACTAATAAAAAACTAATAAAAATCCTTTTTTTTTTTTTTTTTTTGACTTTTAGCTGGAACTGCGTTTCCAAAACCACCAGCTGGCCAGAACTTTGCTGGATCTAAACATGAAGATGCAGCAGCTGAAAAAGCAGCAGGAGAGGGATAGGGCAGCGAAGTCCTGGAACCGGGAAGATGATGCCATGGATCGGGAGCCTGGAAACGCATAGTGGGAAACCAGCCCACAGCTCTGAAGCAGCTCTGAAAGCTTAGGATAACATAGGCGGCGCTGAAGCAGTTCTAACACCAGCATTAGCAATGCTTTACTTAAGCTCTGAGGGACACTTAGTCCACTGAAAACCTACATGCAAAGAGGAAGTCACAAAACGAATCTAAGAAAGGAGGGCGATACATTATTTTGAAGTCTTAAAGACAGTCATTCATTGATTTGGTTGAATTTTTTTTTTTTTTTAGAAGGAGAAGGAGGCCAAGCAGAAGAAAAAGAAGAGGAAGATGAAGAAAATCCAAAGTGTCAAAGACTGTCCCATCTTACCTGCCTTTTACTGGCATTGCATGAACTGTCAGAATCTGTGCTTGTTTTTATTTATTTTTGGTCTATCCAGTAGCCTATTCGGTGTTCTTCTTTTTGTAAAACTGAGAGTTACTTTTGTCTGGAATCCAGCCACGCCCTTTATGAGGTCAGCATTAAGAATATCCCAAACCCAAGGCAAATACACTAGGCCTTGCTATCATTGAGGCACATGAAATATTCGTGTCCTTATAAAACCTCCCCTCAATTGATTCAGTCTTGAGTTTCATGACTTACACCCCAAACTTCTTAATACAGTTCTTTTGTTCAATTAACTTGGGAATTAAAATGTTTCTTATTGCTGAGTTAAAATACCTAGCTTTACCTTAAAAGTTCTGTCTTCTTATTGCAAAAATAAAATTAATAAAAAAATTGCAGACCTAACTCATATTCCTAGTGTTTATTATCTATAAAAAATATGACAATGTGTGCAATTTTAATATTTAATTACAATAAAATTAGTTCCTGAAGACAAAAGAGAACAGAAAGGAGGATGAGCTTTCCCTTAAAAAATAAATACTATGACTGGCAATGTAGATTAGGCTGTGTGAAGCCCCCAGCACCAAAAAAATAAAATGATTGAAAAAGAGGAAGAAAGAAAAGAAAATTGTGTGTAGGGAGTTGAGAATTGTCTAGGCCAAATTTAATTTTTCTTTATTTTTGTCCATAAATAAGTTGTTCTAACCCTTGAATACTTAATCTCTTTTCCCTGCAAGCCTGGGATGTTACCATATTCAACTTTAGGACATTGTCAACAAGTAGTAGGCAGTGCCCTGACATCTGACCATGGTTCCTTGAAATTCTCAAAAAATGAGCCTATGTGTGTGTGTGTGTGTGTGTGTGTGTGTGTGAGAGAGAGAGAGAGAGAGAGAGAGAGAGAGAGAGAGGTGTAAGTGTATGTTTACGTGGCTGTTTGTTGTTCATGTGTGTGGATGCAGGCACGAATGTACTGTGGTGTGCATGTAGAGGTCGGAGGACAACTTCCAGATGTGGTGTTGGTCTACCTTGTTTGAGATGGAGTTTCTTGAATGCTACATAATGACAAGCTTCTGGAGATTGTCCAGTCTTTGGCTCCCATGTCTGTGGAGGGATGACAGACACTTTCAGATTTTTTTTTTTTGTGTGTGTGTGAATTCAGGTCATCAGGCTTGCAGAACAAATATGCTTTTGCTCAGTGAGCTATCTCATAATTTTTGAGGAAAGACTGTGATAGTCCTTGTGATTTGTGTTTTTTAACTTTAACTTAGATGTTGAAGCAGTCATTCTCAAGTGCATTGTTAAGGTTAATTTTAATAAGTCATTTGATTTCATTTTCAGAAAATACTCAAAGTGATTCATTATATAAGTCCAATTCCTTACAGAATCCAGATTGTCAACACTGGCTAGCGTTCAGTTAAGTAATTTGATTATATTGCTAAGGTAGTACATGGACATCAAAAGAAAGAAAACTTGAAAGGCAACTTGTGGCAGCAGATGCATTGATGTTCACATTGTCAGACCAGAAGGAAAACCCATAGTTTTATTGCAAAGTTTTGGTCACATACCTTTTTTTCATCGATCTTTCAGAGATAAACACTGGTCCACTGTATCCTTCAGGGGCCATAGATGCAGAAGCAGAATAAACTCCTTTCCTCAAAGGTGTCTTATTTATGGACGTCCTAAACAGTGGAACTGGTCTTTGATCTCAGCAGTGCAATGTGGAAATATAGCAGTTGCTTGATTCATACGACAACATACTATCATTAAATTTTTCTGCTCTGTTTCTGCTTTAGTTTATCTCCCGCCTTTAAAAAAAAAAAACAGTCATAGAAGGCGGATGATTGTTCTCCTGCCTTTTCTTTGTGCATGCTCAACTCTTGTTAGTTTGCTGTACCCTCATTCCACAGTGGAGACTCATGGGAAGTCAGCAGGGAGACTTTTCTGAGAGATGTGAGGATGGGCCTACAATAGTTACAGTTCCCATCTTTCTGTGGTTTAAAAGTAATCAGGGCAGCAGCCTGACATTTTAAAGATTAGATGGAAGCAACCAAGACGAGTGCCAGCTGGAAGGGAAAAATGAGAAAATAATTATAACCTAAATTATGTAGCAGGGAAGCAGTAAGTGAATAAGTTAAAGAAAGTGAGCTGCTTATAACAAGTGGCTAGAGAGCGCCAAAAGAAGACATACTAAAGACAATTTGCTTGGATTTTTTCAAGTGGCACAATTTCTTACAGTGTTATGGTGGGATAAAACCATGTTAGCAGGAAATGGCCAGGGAAGAGGAGCCAAGTGAATTAAGACAATTAGGAGTTTTGCACAGGTTGTTAGGCATCAAATTCCTTTACAGGTGGCCTGCATGAATCACATTTTGTTTGGCTTGCCAAACTACTTCTGCTGGAACAGGTGTTGCTGTAGGACCCAGCCTGGGGACAGACAAGTCTGCTCTGGAGAACCTCATGAGAGCTGAGCCTGCACTAGTATAATTACAAGAATCCTCCCTCCCTTGTCCCTTTTTGGCAGGGTCTAGTGCCCAGCATAGCTATCAGCTCTGTTTATTTACTGCTGTAATCATGCCTGGGGTCCCTCCAGGCCTGGGGCCTGGCACCAGCTTCTCTAGTGCCAGCTGCTTTTTGTCTTGGCTGTTATTGCTGCTGCTGCCATCAGTTTTTTGCCCATGCTTTTAAGGAAAGTTAGATTTTGATGAGGAATGTGGTTTGGTTTAGGGTGGAAGCTGGACTTCCTTGACTACCTCTGGATCTTGATGCACCTGAAGAACATGGGGACGGGGCAACAGGGCTCCAAGATGGGTGGACTCTTTTAGAGTTGCCCATTTGGCTTCTTCTCCTGATGCTGATTGTAGCGGAAACTTCTGAGGGAGTGAAAACAACGTCTGCCCCCTCCTTCTTTGGTCCCAATGAAAAACCAAGGGAAGATTTCATCAAACTGCAGTGTGGAAAGCCAGTGAGCTTATTGGGCTTACTTGCAGAACGATGGGTAAGGGTTGACTTACAGGAGTGTAGGTGCTCCTCCTCTCAGGCTGAACTGGAAAGTCATCATCTAAGTGTGAATGGTGACTTCCTCACTGCCACACAAAAAATGTTGACAGAGCTTCTCCTACGCTTCCTCAGCTTATAAACCCTTAGCCTTTCCCTGTTGTGCAACTAGGGCTGACTGGTTGGTTGTAAGGTCCCGAGACTCTCCCTGCCCTTCCTTCCTTGTGGAGTGTAATAGACAATAAGCTTAGTTAGCTGTGATGATCCTAGGCAAGTGGGCACAACTAAGCTTGGGAAGACTGTATCTGTCCATGGTCTACATGCCAGAGGACAGTCCTATGTAACTCTGAGGAATGCTGCAGTTTAGTGGGCTCTACTCCTTCTTTAAGCCCCATAGTGCCATCATTTGTCTCTGCAAGAGGGATGTATGTAACCTAGGGACAATGAAACTAGCAAGGATCATAGCCACCACTCCCAGACCATTCATTGTGCCACAAACTACATTTTCATTAGCATATTTAATCCTTGCAATGATTTGTAGGAGTTTAGGACCTGTTTGTGGAATCCTCTACCTTGGATTTAGTCTTGGCTCTATCATTACTAGCCATGTGCTTTAAGTTTGTTAGAACTACCTAAAAAATCTAGAGATGGTACTTTGCTTCAGTCTTGAACAACCTACATTGAAGGGCCTGTGTCTTAGTTTCATTTCTGTTGCTCTGCTAAAATATCCTGACAAAAAGAAATTTAGGGGAAAAAGTGTTTGTTTAAGCTCACAATTCCAGGTTACAGTCTATCATAAGCAGAGAAATCAGTGTGGCAAGCTAAAACAGCTAGTCACATTATATCCACAGTCAGGAATAGAGAGAAATGAATGCATGCATACTTACTACTCAGCTCGCTTTCTCTAGTCTTACATGGTCCGAGATCCAAACCTAGGGAATGGTGCTGCCCACAGTGGGCTGGGTCTTCCCACATCAATGAACATAATTAAGACAATCCCCTACAGACATCTCTTCTGGTCAACCTGATCTAGATTATCCTTCATTGATGCTCTTTTCCCAGGTGATTCCTGATTGCGTCAAATTGACAATGAAAACTAATCATCACGGCCCAGAAGCTGGTTTTGGAGTGTGTGTGTGTGTGTGTGTGTGTGTGTGTGTGTTGTATTTGTGTGTGTATAGTGTATATGTGTATACATGTTTGTGTATGTGTGCATGTAGGTATGTAGGTACACACGCATGTACATACGGGTGCATGTGTACGTGAAAGCCAGAAGTCAAAGTTGGGTGTCTTCCTCTATTGGTTTTTGTCTTAGTTTTTAAGACAGAGTCTCTCACTGAACCTGAAGCTCAATGATTTGGCTAGGCTGGCTGACAGGCAAGCTCCAGAGATCTACCTGTTTTTCCCTCTATGCCAGCACTGGAATTGTAGACATGTGACATGTCCTCCTTTTATGCAGTGTCAGGGGATCTGAGCTCAGGTCCCCATGGATGTATACCAAGTACTTATTGATTGGGCCATCTACCCAGGCCCTAGTTTTGAACACTTGATGAGAAAGGATCTTCTCTGTTTCTTTCTCCTTTTCCTTCAGTTCTACAGCATTTTGCTCCCCTTTGGACTTGACTTTCCCTATGCCTCTTTCCTATCTTACATCTTTAAATGTTCTGTTGATAGTTTTCTCTGTTGACTAATAAGTTATTTCTCAAAAATGGGGAATATGGGGTAAGGAGACATAAAATCAATAAAAACTGCCACTCTCCAGTCTTCCTGAATATGCCTGGAACTCAGTGCTAGGTGCAATTCAACTGAATTGTCCTTGTAACACCATGTTGTGCGAACTATTGCTTTCCCCATTCTAAAGCAAAAGAGAATAAGAATGGAGAAAGGATGCAACTTGACACAGATCACTCAGCTAGCTAGTGGGAGCCATTGAGAGTCACATCCAGGATTGTGAAGAATGATTCACAAATACACAAATTCAGTATTATAACAAAAGCTCGACAGAAGCATATATGGAGCGCTAAAGTAGCTTTTGCAAGAGCCAACAAAGCCTTCACTGAAGACGCACCTCCAGGTTGTTGTGTTCCCTGAAAAAAGCCCCAACTTTGTTTTTCATAATTTACATAAGTTAGTTGGGTGATTTTAGACAGATTGCTGTATATATGTCTAATTTTTCTCTTTTGAAAACTTGACTGAGGGCTGGAAATGATCCCTAAAGCATCCCTTTGATTTAGAAATGTCTAATACTGCCTGCGGTGGCTGGATTCTACTCACACCTGTGTTAGCTACTGGCAGCTTATCAATGCATCTGGCCAGGAAGTGGACTCTTTCAGACCCAGCCCTTGTCCTGGTCACCATCACAGCTGTTGCAGCCTTGATGATGACAGGAAGAATTC